CCTTCAATATGGTAGTAGTTTTCATGGATCATAATTTGGAAGATATGCAATGAACCTTGTGTTGTCATTTTTCAGCCGCCTATGAGTAAAGCTCGAAAATCTATAATAGCTGAAGCATTTAATAAATTAGACAAGACTGGAGATCAAGTCATTACCATTGAGGACCTCAAGGGGTAGGTGTTATTGTTATAAGAGACATTAAAGAACTGGTTAAATTGTGTAATGATAAGGTCATCACTGAGAAACAAATAGAGTTTTCATACAATGTAGCATAATGCAAACACACCTGTAGGGAATTTAGGAGTCAAGAATTCTAAGGGTTTTTGTATTTATAATGTATTGTAAGTATTTTCAAATTCTCGCTAACTCACTTGAGTGTTTGTAACAGTGAATAACCCATTTTTAAAAACGCTTACAAGGCAACCATTTTTATATTCCTTTTGTGAAATGTACAAATTATATGCTTATACATCCTCATACAAAATGACTATTTGACCAATCAGGGCTTGTGAATTATATTAATATATACACTGTAAGGCTGAGAGACCATTTGGTCAAGACAGTTCCTTATGAACTGACTCGTAAAACATTTTTGCTGTATTTTCAGTTCAGAGTTGCCTTGGTCAGGGAAAATTATATTTTATTCAAAGTCAGGGAGAAGTCAGAGAGTTTTGTATCAGGTCAGGGACTTTCTAAATCCCTGTTCAAAGTCAGTGAAAAGTCAGGGAATTTTACCTTACGGTTGCCACAAATTATTTTATTAGATGTTTTCATGAAGACAAGGCAATTTTGTTTTAAAAATTATGTAAGCCATTCTTATTTTTGTTGATTTATGGCCAGAATAATTGTCCTGCATGGTCAGTGAAGATTGCTAAGTCAGGGAAAAGTCAGGGATTTTTTTTGGTTCTGGTGGGTGGCAGCCCTACAGTTAAATAGACAGTAACTTGATGTACATGGGACAAATTTCTGGTAATCTTATGAAGGTTTTTAACAGCTGTTGAATGACTTTATTTTAGAGTTTACAATGTTAAGATGCATCCAAAATACCAGAATGGAGAGATGACAGAAGAACAGATTTTTATAAAGTTTTTAAACACTTTCGAGGTTGGCAGTGCTGAAATGGATGGAAGGGTAAGATTTCACTGCAGTTGTGTGATGCATAAGTTGTAGAGAAATTTGCTGTAGGCTGTTAGTTTAGTAAAAATGTAAATCTCTGGAGAAATGTTGCCACCTGTTGTAATTACACACTCTGTACATGTAGTTAACACTTTACTCCCTAAGGGTGCCAATTGGCACACAACTTCATAACTTTGTGAATATTTGAGATGCACGTGGAGTGCAAGACTTGCTAAATGAGCTATAGTTCAGCGTGGGTGCACCAATGATATTTGAGAGTTGAGATGTGTTGGAAGTTTTTCAGTTTCACATTTTAAAACGATGTCTCTCAAAATGATTATCCCCTTCGTAGCTTTTGATGATCAGTGGCTTTCAAATGGTATATTGTACACAGGCAGGAAGTCTTTATTTGCTGATTTGTCAAGAAATATTGCTTACAAGCATTAGGCCAAAAAATGGTTTAAAAGTACCAAAAAGGAAACAAAACGTTTTTGACTTACTTGCAAACGAAGTTGTCATCAGGGTGATGTTGAAAACTTCATTTGAAGTGGAAAACGTTTCGTTTTATCCTTTTCAGGTATTCTGAAATGATGTTTTGGCCTTGCAAATAGTATTTACAATCAAACATGAACGTTACAGACAAGAAAAAAAGCTGCAAAGCATACATCATTAAATACACTTTGTCTAGTAAACATAACAGTCATACTGAACCTTAAAAGCAAACATTTGTCTTTCCTATTTTCCAGATTACTCGAGATGAATTCATGAACTACTATGCTGGTGTCAGTGCTTCTATAGACAATGATGCTTACTTCCTCCTTATGATGAAGAATGCCTACAAACTGTGAATATGCGCCAAGCTTCCTGTTAGAATTGTACAACTTAGAACTACAGAGCTATGTGGTGTACAGTCAGTGCTGGTGGCCATGGAGAGGTGGTCTAGAAATTAGTTGATTGTTGGCAGCCTTTGGAGTAGCCACTCCTATAGAGCACATGCAACATCACAGGAATTTGTACATACAATTGTGACAGCATTTAATGCTTTCAGAAACATTATATTTACTTAAAATAAATATCACTTTCATGGAAATTAATGACCAATTTTTACTTTCTTTTTACCCCATTGCAACGCACTCGAGCTGGTAGTCTGTGATACTGTAGGACTTGCTCACCACATGGTAGAGCCTGCATAGAGAAACAGATTCTCCAACGGAGAATTACTCACAATGTATGGAAAGCAATAAGGAGAATCTCAATGTTGATCATGAGAGAGAAACGATGATATACCTACAACGTTTTTTATTTTGTTTATTAGTTGTAAGCGAGAAAGTGTTCGCCCTCTTTCAGTCCTGTTGTTTTTATGTTGCTCGAACCCTTCGTGATCTCAGAAGAAAATATTTTTTTTCATAACTTTTTATGATTATTATTTTTTAATTTATGCTATTTGAAGGACTGTTTGTGTTCCTCCAATAAAGCGTAAAGCCCACTCAATAATACATGTAATTGTAAACTTTACTTTAGACATTTTCCGACATTTTCAGAAATAAAGATAAACAACTGAAAATAACACACGACAATAACAGTGTTGTTTTTAAAGGGAATAGGGCCTCTCACTCATACGCAAACAGTAACCCTAGCTTTTCATCGGACCAGACAGGTCTCAAGGTGAAGGGCTTGGGTGCTGGCTAATTACCAAGTCCCGGAAAACTCCAGCCCAACCACAAAGTAACGAAGATTTTGGATTGTAAATATGATCCGACTTAAAGTTCTCAAATTTCTCAGAATGAGTATGTAAAAAGTTGCCCGAAGGGAAAAAAAGTTTTTCAAATTATGAAAACTTGCCGAGCAACTTGTAGACAGTTCCGGTGACCGAAAATGGAAGCCACCGAGTGCCTATTTCACTTTCAAATAGCAGATTTGCACGTTGTCTTCATTTGACTACAGCTACGAGAATTCCGTGATAACCAATGGAATGTATAAATTATATACTGCAAAGAATTCCAAAATAAAATATTTACATTCCGGGAAAACTAAGCTTATATATAAGCTGTATTTTGTCCACCTGATGTCCACTGTGCCAAATGCAGGTAACATATCAAATATTTAATATCTCAAATAGCTAGTCTCTGCCAGATAGAGGTATTTGCTTTCTGAGACTAACCTCGTGTAAATGTTTAGATTGCCAACTTTCATTGTAATAAAAGAACGTAATGTTGTGCAACCAGCGAGTTGCTTGGTACACAAATTTTATTACAAAGGGACTATTTTACATTCTTATTGTTATCCCACTAGCGATAGACACATTTTTGTGCTTGTTTACAATATCTTATTTCTATTTTATAGTTGCCCCGCGGAAATTTGATGTTCTTAAAACTAGCATATTTGTTTTAAGAACATGAAATTTCCGCGGGGCAACTATCAGCCGATAGTTCCTCGACAGAAACACTCTATTGTCTTTATTGTACACCACTAAATTTTCTTCCGCGCGCCAGTTCAAAATCATATTGAATTATTTTCAACTTTGTTTAGAAGGAAGCCGTGAAAGCCAAATGTAAAATTTAAAAAGGAAAATAAACAAAACCCACTTAATACAATTTCACTTGTTTATTTTTTATAAGCTCGCTTGTTTACAGAGATTTTTCACGAAACAGTACTATCCATCCGGGTATTTTCCTCGAACGGGCACTATGGGCTGGTAGTGTCTCTCCACGGATGAACACTATCGCGTCACGTGATCAATTTAAACCAATAGGAACCGGAGACAATTTAGTGGTTAACTATAAGAGCCAATAGTTTCGCTGATTCAAACACTCTCAAACACCCCCTTGTATATAAAAGGTTTTTCATGCGTCGGTTTCACGTTTCTTTAACATTGTAGCTGTACTCTGTCTTTCCAAGAGGTAAGTCGTTCAACCTTAATATTTTTTAAACAAACTTTTATTTCGTAGATTGACATTAACTTTGTTTACTCCTGGGCCCCTGCCTATCTGATTTCTCTCTTCGACAAAAAAAACACACACACAAAACTGTATTATTGACATGCGAACAAGCATATCCGTACGGGCGT